ATGGCAGCCCACTCGGGTACTCTTGCCTGGAAAATCCCATGGACAGAGGAGCCTGGTAGGCTGCAGTCCATGGGGTCGTGACGAGTTGGACACAACTGAGCGACTTCACTTTCACTTTTCACTTTCATGCATTGGAGAAGGAAATGGCAACCCACTCCAGTGTTCTTGCCGGGAGAATCCCAGGGACAGGGGAGTCTGGTGGGCTGCCGTCAGTGGGGTCGCAGAGTCGGACACGACTGAGGCGACTTGGCAGCAGCAGCAGCAGTTTGTACCACTTAATCCCCACACACGTCTTGTCCCTCCTTCCTTCCCTCTCCCTAATGGTAACCATTTGTTCATTCTCAATATCTGCGAGTCTTTTTTTGTTTTGTAATATTCAGTTACTTATTTTTTTATATTTCACACGTAAGTGATAACATGCAGTATTTATCTTCCTTTGTCTAACCTACTTCAGTAAGCATAATACTCTCTAGGTCCATTCATGTTGCAAATGGCAGAATTTCATTTTTTTCTTTTGACTGAGTAGTATTCAATTGTATATATTTGCCAAATCTTCTTTATCCACTCAGCTGTTGATGGACATTTAGGTTGCTTCCATAAGTTGGCAGTTGCAGATAGTGGTGCTGTGAACAATGGGATGCATATATCTTTTTGAATTAGTATTTTTGTTTTCTTCAGATCTGGATATGTATATATAGGAACATGTGTATCAGGCAACTCAAAATTTTTACCACTCTGTGTATGTCTGTGGATGACTATGAAAGTGCCATGAGTTTTGATTTTGAGGCTACACATAAATTTTAGCAGGCAGGCAAATTTGCAAATTAGGAATCTATGAATAATAACTGACTGTATTTCCTCCTGGTTCCTCTCTTATTAAATGACACCACCAGCCAAACTAGTTACCTAGGTTAGAAATCTCATGTCAGTTTTCTTTCCTTCATATCCTTTACCACATATATCCAATTGGCTTGTGCCTCTTTAAGTACGTCAGAGTCTAATCCTTTTGTAGCTAATTTCTCCTTCCTTCATTCTGCTTACTACATTACAGTTCCAGGTGTCTAAAACTAGAGTTGAAGTCCAAATATGTTATCATGATTTACAAAGTCCCCCGGCCTTGTCTCCTGTCATATCTCTCCCTTTACACCCTGAAGTTCCAATTGTGAAGAACTTCTTTCAGTTCATGGAATGTGTGATGTCTTTTTTCACTGAATCTCTCTCTCTCTACAAGGAACATTTTCCCCCACTTTCTATTTACCTGGCTTATTCTTCTGAGTCATTCTTCAATTATGAGTATAAATGTTATTTTTTTCCTGAGAATCTTTCTCTAACATTTATCCCTTCCCCAATCATGTGCATGCATACACACACACACACATGCACACTCAGTTATACATTCCACTCCAATCCATAGGATTTTATAGTTTATTTTAATATAATTGCTTGTTTAATTTCTAGTCTTCCACTGTAGACTATAAATTCAATGAGGAGATTCTTAGTGTCTTTCACACGGTAAGCACTTTATATACTCTGTAACTGATTTTTCTGTGACATTGTATGTATTATTTCATGAATTATTGTATAGTCTTTGGAGCACTGTCATTCTAAAAACAAAATGAAAAAGAAAACAACTTTTACCTTGCCTTCCTATTGTTTTGTGTCTTTTTGTTTATACCTTTATTAGCTTTTCAGGTGACTTTTTTTGGTTTGTGTTTTGTTTTTTTCATTTGAGTGGTTAAAGGAGTTTGAGGCCGAAGTGGCAGCACTCTATTGTGCATTGTCTATTGACCTATTTGTGAATAGGCAGGCACTTCCTCAATTACTCAGCTGTATTGGGCAGACATCTATTTCTCAATTTCTTCCTATAAGCATTGAGTTGACAAAATTGGCAAAGGAAATAGAAAAATCAGAGATGAATTTATTTAACATCCACTAGGGAAAATCTAACTCACTTTTATAAATGGAGAAGCCAGACCTGTTAGATAAATTGGTCTTTTCTTATGTTTTAATTTTATTAAAAAACAAAATGTATATAGTTTAGAATTAAGTAGAAGTTCATGATTTGGATTTTATATAGAATTTCATCTTCTTTATTTTCTATCATTTATGACAAATAATTAAATTAGTATGGTACTGCTAAGTCACTTTAGTTGTGTCCGACTCTTTTCTACCCTATGGACTGTAGCCCACCAGGCTCCTCTGCCCATGGGGCTCTCCAGACAAGAATAGTGGAGTAGGTTGCCATTTCCTCTTCCAGGGGATCTTCCTGACCCAGGGATTGAACCCGTGTCTTCTTCAGCTCCTGCATTGAAGGTGAATTCTTTATCACTAAGCCACCCGGGAAGTCCCAGTTAGTATGCTGTGTCCTAATTAACAAGGCTTTCCCTAAATTCTCAATTAAGTGTATCTTGGCTCAAAAGTATGTTGAAACTGTAATGTCACACTAACACAATAAAGGGCCTTTTAGGGCTGTTAACCTTAAAATGAAAAGTCCTTCACTGTGTACCAAAAGTAATTGACTTTTAATAATACCACTATGCTGGAAAATGGTGACAAGTAGGGAATAACTTTAACAAACCAACAGGCAGTTTCCACTTATTTCTTAAATATAATTATTTGCTACCTCACTAACTTATGGACTAAGAAAGTCTTGAAATAGCTGTCTTAAGGTTTGTTTTAATTTTTCAGACAGAAAAATTCAGATGTATACAGTCGTCAAAACCTTAGTGTGTTAAAATATTTAAGCTACACCACGAGTTGTCAAACCATGACTCTTGTGTCAAGTCCATCATACTGCCTGTTTTTGTATGACCTTGTGAACTTTTGCATTTTCAAATGATGGGCTAAAAATCATTTTTTTACCCATAGATGACTAATATTTTATGACAGGTGAAAATGATATGAAATTCTAATTTCAGTTTCTACAAATAAGGCTTTATTGGAACAGAGCCATACTCATTTAGATATTGTTTATGACTGCTCTTATACTACAGCAGCATGTAGTATACCACAACTGCATGGCTCAACAAAGCTATTTACAGTTCTGCCCATTACAGAAAACATTTGCCAACCACTGAGCTACACTATCAAGTGTGCATGATTTAGTACCTTAAATAGCTTTTCCAGTTTAGGTATAACAAAGAAGTCATGTTGAGTAAGATTCTTCAGACTTTTGGGAAGGTGAAAAAAACTGAAGGTAGATAGTACATGGAAATCTTCCTTTTGTGCAAGAGACATGTGTTCAATCCCTGGGTTGGGAGGATCCCCTGGAGAAGGGAATGGCTACCCACTCCAATATTCTTGCCTGGACAGAGGAGCCTGGCGGGCTATGGTCCATAGAGTCACAGAGTCAGACATGACTGAAATGACTAACACTTTCACAGTAAACCTATCTTCACATGGGCGGGGCTTTCACTTTCATCACTGATTTCATCTTATGTTTTAAATAGGTATTTGCATAGTGGTTATTATTTATCAAGACAGTATTCTAAAAGTTTATAGCTCTTGATAATCTTTATAACAAACATAGGAAGTTGGCATCTCTACAAATAAGTAAGCCATGGCATGTCTACTAGTGAAAGGTGAAGAGTTAAACAGTGGAAGTTAAATTAATGAAAGGGAAATTATATAGCTAGTCATATGAGTTATACTGTAGGAGGAAATGACAGCCCACTCCAATATTCTTACTGGGATAATCCCATGGACAGAGAAGCCTGGCGAGCTGCAGTCCATGTGGTTGGGAAGAGTCAGACACAACTGACTGATGGAGCACATGAGTTATACAGTTAGTAAGGGCTGGGCCATAATTTGAATAAATTCATCTGGTTCTAAAATCAGTACTCTTAACGACTCTACAATGCTGTCTCTCCCTTTCTACTTTTGTTTATTTAGAGAAGTCTTGGGTTGCGAGTAGACTTTAATAATAGGTGAGCATCATGTTTTAACAGTTTTGAGCTCATATCAGTTTCTAGGGTTGTTATAATCAAGTACCACAACTCGGTGGCTTAAAATAAGAGAAATTTCTTCTGTCACTGTTTTGGAGAGTAGAAATCCAAAATCAGGATGTTAAGAGGCTGTCCTTTCTTTGAGATTCTGGGTAGAATCCTTCTTTGCCTCTCTGCAGCTTCTGTGGTGGCCAGCAGTCCTTGATGTTGCGATGTATCATTTCAGTCTCTTCTTGTGGCTCCATGGTGAATTCTCCCCATGCTGTCTTCATATAGCATTTTCCTCTTCTTATGAAGACACCAGTTATGCTAGATTAAGGGTCACCCTGTTATAGTATGACTGCATCTTAATTTAACTAATTAAACCTGTAAAGACTTTTCTAAATGGTCATGCTGTGAGGTCTGGGGAAGGACATTAATTTCGAGAGGACACTGTTGAACCCTAGTTATACAGCATATAAATCAGCTCTCGTATTCTAGAGTACCTTTCAGTTTAAGCCCAAAAACCCTAAATGAAAAGTTACAGGCCTTGGTTTCTTCCTTTTTGGTGTTAATCCTGTGCTAGATAACTTTCTGTCTGAGAAGACTGACATTATTCTCAACTTCTGCCTTTTTCTGGCCTTCTTTTGGCCTCTTGCTTGTGATTTCTTTGAGACTAGATTTTATTATGGAATTTTCTTCTGGAATGTTCTGTATTTTTTTTTTTAAAGGATCATTTTCTCAACTGTTATTATAACCTACAAGAATGTTGGTTTGTTTTTTTTCTTGTAAATTTGTGATAATTAGTTCAGAAACCAACTTTGGTGTTTTTGGAGGTTGAGTTCTGACAGTTTCCTCTGAATAATCTTGTGTCCATTTCTATTGGGATTTGTAAGTAAGGTTCAGTAAGTTCTAATAATTATTTTTGTTTTTTCAATGGTTTTTATTGTTAAAATGACAGATTGTGAGAAATGTGGGACTGCCTTAGCTTCTGACCTGGGAGCTTCTCTTTTCCCATGAAATATTAGGGTGGTTGGCCCAATTGTGTCAACCTATTTCCTTTCGTTTGTTTTACAGGGGGCCCGGGAAACTTTTGAGAACTACTACCGAAAACAAAGGCGAAAACAGGCTCGTTTGGTGCTCCAGCCTCCATCTAACATGGTAGGATAACCACTTTTATTTTTCTCCCTTTTCCATTTTTCTTCTATATCTTTTAATTATTTTCCACTTGTGATTTTTCCCTCCCTAAATTGTCATTCTGGGACCACTTTCGGTAGATGTGACTTGCACTAAGAAAGTAGCAACTAACATTTCTTGATTGCTATGTTTCAGGCATTCTTCTAAGTACTAGATATGTATTGTCTCATTTCATCCTCACTGTAATCCTATAAAGGTAGGTTGTTGTTGAGTCACCCAGTCATGTCCAACTCTTTGCAACCCCATGGACTGTAGCACGCCAGGCTTCCCTGGTCTTCATTATCTCCCAAAGTTTGCTCAAACTCATGTCCATTGAGTCGGTGATGCCATCCCACCATCTTGTCCTCTGTCGACCCCTTTGCCTCCTGCCCTCAATCTTTCCCAGCATCAGGGTCTTTTCCAGTGAGTGAGTGCTTTGTGTCAGGTGTGATTACCTGGTTTGATCACCTTGCTGCCGAAGGGAATCTCAAGAGCCTTCTCCAGCACCACAGTTCAAAGGCATCAATTATTTCATGCTCAGCCTTCTTTATGGTACACCATTCACATTGGTACATGACTATTGGAAGAACCATAGCTTTGAGTATACGTACTTTTGTCAGCAAAATGATGTCTCTGCTTTTAAATATGCAGTCTAAGTTTGTCATAGCTTTTTTTACAAGGAGCAAGTGTCTTTTAATTTCATGGCTGCAGTCCCCATCTGCAGTGATTTTGGAGCCTAAGAAATATAGTCTGTCACTGTTTCCCCTGTTTCCCCATCTATTTGCCACGAAGTGATGGGACTGGATGCCATGATCTTTGTTTTCTGAATGTTGAGTTTTAAGCCAGCTTTCTCACTCTCTGCCTCTCTGTCAAGAGGCTCTTTATTTCCTCTTCACTTTCTGGCGTTAGGGTGGTGTCATCTGCATATCTGAGATTATTGACATTTCTCTCGACAATCTTGATTCTAGCTTGAGGTTCATTCAGCCCAGTGTTTCACATGATGTACTCTGCATATAAGTTAAATAAACAGGATGACAATATACAGCCTTGATGTACTCCTTTCCAAATTTGGAACCAGCCCATTGTTCCATGTCCAGTTCTAACTGTTGCTTCTTGAGCTGCATACAGGTTTCTCAGGAGGCAGGTAAGGTGGTCTGGTATTCCCGTTTCTTGAAGAATTTTCTACAGTTTGTTCTGATCTACACAGAGATTTTAGCATAGCCAATGAAGCAGAAGTAGATGTGTTTCTGCAATTTGCTTGATTTTTCTGTGATCCATCTGATATTGGCAGTTTGATCTCTGGTTCATTGCCTTTTCTAAATCCTGCTTGGACATCTGAAAGTTCTTAATTCATGTACTGTTAAAGCCTCGCTTGAAGGATTTTGAGTATTACCTTGCTAACATATAACATGAGTGCAATTGTGGGGCAGTTTGAACATTCTTTGACATTGCCCTTCTTTGGAATTCAAATGAAAACTGACATTTCCTGTCCTATGACTACTGCTGAGTTTTCTAAATTTGCTGATATATTGAGTGCAGCACTTTTAACTGCATCATCTTTTAGGATTTGAAATAGCTCAGCGGAAATTCCATCACCTGCATTAGTTGTGTTCATAGTGATGCTTTCTTAGGTGCACTTGACTTCCCATTCCAGGATGTCTGGCTCTAGGTGAGTGATCACACCATCGTGGTTATCCGGGCCACTAAGACCTTTTTTGTATAGTTCTTCTGTGTATTCTTGACACCTCTTCTTAATATCTTCTGCTTTTGTTAGGTCCATACCATTTCTGTCCTTTATTGTGCCCATCTTTGCATGAAATGTTCCTTTGATAATTTTCTTAAAGAGATCTCTAGTCTTTCCCATTCTATTGTTTTTCTCTGTTTCTTTGAATTGTTCACTTAAGGATTTCTTATCTCTCCTTGCTATTCTTTGGAACTCTGCATTCAGCTGGGTATGTTTTTTCCTTTCTTCTTTGACTTTTGCTTCTCTTCTTTTTTCAACTATCTGTAAGCCCTCCTCAGACAACCATTTTGCCATTTTGCCTTTCTTTTTCTGGGGGATGATTTTGATTACCGCCTCCTGTACAATATTAGGAACCTCTGTCCTTGGTTCTTCAGGCATTCTGTCTGTCAGATCTAATCCCTTGAATCTATTTGTCAGTTCTACTGTATAATCGTAAGGGATTCGATTTAGGTCATACTCGAATGGCCTAGTGGTTGTCCCTACTTACTTCAATTTAAGTCTGAATTTTACGCTGAGTTCATGATCTGAGCCACAATTGGTTCTCGATCTTGTTTTTGCTGACTGTATAGAGCTTTACCATCTTCAGCTGCAGAGACTATAATCAGTCTGATTTTGGTACTGACCATCTGGTGACGTCCATATGTAGAGTCGTCTCTTTCTCTTCTGTTGTTGTAACATGGTGTTTGCTCTAATCAGTGTGTTCTCTTGGCAAAGCTCTGTTAGTGTTTGCCCCACTTCACTTTGTACTCCGAAGCCAAACTTGCCTGTTGTTCCAGGTATCTCTTGATGTCCTGCTTTTGCATTTCAATCCCCTATAATGAAAAGGACATCTTTTTTTGGACACCTTGTTAGTTCTAGAAGGTCTTGTAGGTCTTCATAGAACTGTTCAACTTCGGCTTTTTCAGCATTAGTGGTTGGGCATAGATACATAGGTACTCTTATTGTATTTACTTTATAGTCTTGGGAATTGAGCCTTAAGAAGTTAAGTAGCTGATTTGTGTCTTTATCAAAACAAAAACAATAACTTTTTTCTTCTTTGCTTTTTTGTAGCATGAAACTTTAGATGGCTACAGGAAGTATTTTAATCAAATTGTCGGGTGGGTATTTGTGTGTATGTTTTAAATTTATATACTTTCAATAGTTTGTACACTTTTCCTGAGACTTGGAAAAGTATAACAGTGTTCTTTGGGAATTTATTTTTCTTTTCTTTATTTAAATTCTTAAAACAAGGTTAGGTTTTGAATATCTGATGATTTTAAAGGAATGTCTATTTGTTTCAACATTATATTGTTGGAGAATACTTTTTATGGAGAATGAAGAATAATGTTGAATTGTAACCTTATTATGTGTGATATTTTGCTTTTCCGTTTCTGTTAAGAGAGAACCAAGCAATCAACAAAACGTTGGCACATTTTTTCTAAAAGAGCCACACGGTAATGTGTTTTAGGTTCAGGAGACCAAATGGTTTCTGTTGCAGCCATTCAGCTCTGCTGCAGCACGAAAACAGCTATAGACAACATGTACGTGAGACACAGTTGGTGTGTTCCAGTAGAACAGTATTTATAAAAGTGAGCCGTGTGCCACATTTATTCCATGGACTGTATAGTTTGCCACCTTCATCTTGAGAATATATACTAGTTTGGAATTGCAGTTCCCCAATAAGCTCCCCAAATATAGGCAGCTTATTCTTATTGCAAAATAGTGACTTTGTAGTGAAAAAAGGGAATTAAGTTGAATTGTTCCATGAAATTTCTTTTTCAAATTCAGATTGTTGTAATGTAATTGTTAACTTTATTAAAGTATTATCATGAACAATTCTCTATTTAAAGAATTGTTTTAATTAGTATGAATATTTAGGTAAGATAGCTAAAGATACATTTCAGATGCATAAAAATTAGGACACCACAGGAGAATGTTAAAAAATATGTGTGTATTTTTTTACCTTTGTGCTATATCTTTTCTGTCTTTGATGAAAAAGTTTTGTATAAGGGGAACTGTTTTAATATTTTGTGTGTTGGAGTCTTAAAATAATGGGTATTTTAACTTTTGTTGTTTTTTGTAAAATGTTTTAATGGCCTGGTGTTTTTAATGTAGTGAAACTAGTCTCCTTTATCTATAAACATTTTTTCTTCCTTTTAAATTCCAGGGTAGCATGGTTAACATTTAATGCAAATGTAATTCCAGTTCCTCTTGAAGTGATTAAAGTGATATCATGATCAAAGATATAATTCCAAGTCTAATAAATCTGATTTTGTTTGTTATACCAAATAGCTTTCTTTAAGAAAAAACACTAGTATTACCTTCAAATTTAATGGCAGCTCTTAATGTTTGTCACATGCTGAAAATAGTAATCAAACTATTTTCTGACAGCTGTGCTTTCTTTTTTTCCTCAATCTTAGTTTTTTTGTGGTTGAAGATCACATTTTACATACAACACAAGGCTTAGTAAATAGAGCCTACATTGATGAACTGTGGGAAATGGCACTTTCAAAAACCGTCGCAGCACTCCGTACTCACTCGGTATGTAAGACACCCAAGATGAATTTTTACTTCAAGCTAATTGTCTCTACCGTATTCAGTCTTCTACAGCTTTAAAATCGTCCTATGAATATCATTTACTCATGAAAGATGTATGGAAGTAACCACTTCAAACTGCGCGTTCTCTAATGCTAAGCCCTCTTTTGTGGATATTCTTTGCATTAAGAAAACAACAGCTAATAACAACTGATTGTTCTCTATGTCTCAGGCATTGTTATTGTATTGTTACTGTGTACTGCATATATATTTCATCTTCACTTCATCTTTCTCAGGCAGATACTATTTTTATATTTGTCATGTAGACTGCAGAACAACCTCAGAGAGGTTAAGTAACTAGCCCAGTATCACCCAATAAGTGGTAGAGCTTGGATTTGAACCTTGATAGTATAACTGCAGAGCCCATGTTCTTAGCCATGCCATGTTGCCTTTGTAATGCCTATTAATACTGGTTTGGAGCTCACAGATTTATTCTTACTCCATAACGTTTCAATAAGTTGCCTGATTTTCAGTTTCCATGCTCTATTGATCTGTTTTATGATAGCATCAATTTTTAATGATAATCTACTTTATTACAGGTGGAGAATCCTGGCTCTGATTTATTCATTTAGTCATTCATTCAATATTTCTTGAACAAGGATTACATGCTGATGATAGCAATACAAGAATAAATAAGACTAAGGACTTTGTTCTCAGAGAGCTGTATTATGATTGGAAAGATTCCCAATAAACTAATCAATAATAATATCAGACAGTGATAATGCAGTGCAATTAAAAATGAGTGATATATTAGTACAACAAAGTGTCTGATTTTGATAAGTTGATATGACATGGCATTCTGAGATCTAAATATCAAGCAGTCAGTATTTGTGCTAAGATCAATTAAAAGATCATACTATGTATAAAGAGCAGTAGTGCAAGGACTTTGTGGTACTATTATGTATGAAAGTGAGGAACAATAGTGAGAAGTTAATAATAAAAGATAATTTGGTATTTTAAAAATTTCAAGAAATGTTCTAGTATGCATATTATTTTGTTGACCAGAAGCTTAAAAGTCATTCATAACCGTACAAGTCTCTATCTATTCATTATTAAGTGTTCCAGAGTAAATCAGTTCAGTTCGGTTCAGTCACTCAGTCGTGTCCAACTCTTTGCGACCCCATGAATTGCAGCACGCCAGGCCTCCCTGTCCGTCACCAACTCCCGGAGTTTACTCAAACTCATGTCTGTCGAGTCTGTGATGCCATCCAGCGTCCCCCTCCTGCCCCCAATCCCTCCCAGCCTCAGGGTGTTTTCCAGAGTAAATATCATGTCTAAAATCTAGAAGTTGAAGGGAGTGTAGCCACTTTAAAGGAAACTGAATAATGCTCCAAGTGGTTAGAACATAAGACATAGAACCCTAGGGAAGTATAGTAGGAAGTAAGAATAAAAAAAATAGGAAGATTTCACATTATTTAGGGCCTGTTTGACCCTTTAAACAGTGAGGTAAGTGGAGTATGTGTGTTCGGGATGGGAGTAGAGTTAATTGGAATGAGAAGATCAGATTTCTATTTTTAAAAGATTATTCTAGCTAAATAATGGATGAGGGATGAGAATGGATATGGGGAGAAGAGCTATTAGTAGGCTGGTCTAGTATTCCAGACAAGAGACAATGATTGCTGGACAAAAGTGATAGTAGATGTGGAAAGAAGTAGATGAGTTTGAGAGATGTTTAGGAAGTAAGATTTATAATACTTTTGTGATGGACTAAATATAAGAGATAAGGTTAAAAGAAGTATCAGGGCCTACGTTTATGGTTTCCTTCCTTGGATGATAGTGTTGGTATTGATGGTTTGGAGTGGGAAAGTCGTAAGTTACTTTTGGATACGATTACTTTAGATGCCTTTGTGCAATTAAAGTAGTAGAGTCTGTCGTTGTTGTTCAGTCTCTGAGTCATGTCCGAATCTTCGCGACCCCATGGACTGCAGCACATCAGCCTTCCCTGTACTTCACCATCTCCCAGAGCTTGCTCAAACTCATGTCCATTAAGTCAGTGATGGCATCCAACCATCTCGTCCTCCATCATCCCTTTGTCCTTCTGCCTTCAATCTTTCCCAGCATCAGGGTCTTTTCAAATGAGGCAGTTATTCACATCAGGTGGCCAAGGTATTGGAACCTTAGCTTCAGGATCAGTCATTCCAGTGAATATTCAGGATTGTTTGGTTTAATCTCCTTGCAGTCCAGGGGACTCTCAAGAGTCTTCTCCAACACCACAGTTCAAAAGCATCAATTCTTTAGCACTCAGGCTTCTTTATGGTTCTCACATCCATACATGACTGCTGGAAAAACCATAGCTTTGACTAGACAGACCTTTGTTGGCAAAGTAATGTCTCTGCTTTTTAATACACTATGTGGGTTTGTCATATCTTTTCTTCCAAGGAGCAAGCGTCCTTTAATTTCATGGCTGCAGTCACTATCTGCAGTGATTTTGGAGCCCAAGAAAATAAAGTCTGTCACTGTTTCCATTGTTTCCCCATCTATTTGTTATGAAGTGATGGGACTGGATGCCATGTTTTTTGAATGTTGAGTTATATGCCAGCTTTTTCACTCTCCTCTTTCAGTTTCATGAAGAGGCAATTTAGTTCCTCTTCACTTTCTGCCATAGGGGTGGTGTCATCTGTGTATCTGAGGTTATTGGTATTTATCCTGGCACTGTTGCATCTAGCTTTTGCTTTATCTAGCCTGGCATTTCTCATGATGTACTCTGCACATAAGTTAAATAAGCAGGGTAACAATATACAGCATTGACATACTCCTTTCCCAATTTGGATCCGTTGTTCCATGTCCAGTTCTAACTGTGTTGTGTTTTGACCTGCATACAGGTTTCTCAGGAAGCAGATAAGGTGGTCGTATTCCCATCCCTTTAAGAATTTTCCACAGTTTGTTGTGAGCCACTCAGTCAAAGGCTTTAGCATAATCAATGAAGCAGAAGTAGATGTTTTACTGGAATTCTCTTTCTTTTTCTATGATCCAGCGGATATTGGCAATTTGATTTCTGGTTCTTCTGTCTTTTCTAAATCTAGCTTTATTGATTAATGTATCAGTTTGAAACTGAAGAGGTTATGTTGTTACTGAATGTGTTGCAATATTTTCTCCTTTTTTCTTGGTAGTTTCTTCTTTAGTATTTAGAAATGTTAAATATTTACATATCTAATTTTATATTTATCTTACTTAAAAATTTCTCTCATTGCTTATATGTGTCCAAGGACTTTATCTGGCATTTTTACCATTATACGCTTGCATCATAGTAAAATCTGTCATATTTAAAAGTATTTTTTTAATGTTTCTGTCTGTTTGAAACTAAAAAGACTCTTACCTATTTTATGGCTTGATTTTTACACATTTATGTATTTACTACCACCTGTTCTTAATGTCATTTAGGGTATGATTAAACAATCTCATTTTATTTTTTTGCCATACTATATCCATTGTCCTAGGATCATTTTTTAAATGTCTTACTTTTTTCCATTTTATGGTGTGCTGTTATTAATACATAAAAAATTATACAAAGATACCGTGATTAATGAAAGATAGGAAATATTGATTATTAATAGTAATGAATTTGGCCATGGTCCCTGGCATAATTATCTGTCTTATATGTAAATTTGAAGTGACTTTTTTCTGTGTATGAATACGTGATAATACAATATATATTTTAAGTAAAACATGATGTATTTTTCACTTAATAGGTAATGAATTTGTGTAAATTTTAATGTGCATTTAAATAATATTCACCTTAGGGATGTACCCTTTTAAAAATTAATTCACTTGATAAGCTTTTTAAAAAAAGTTTTTTAAGCTGTTATTAACATTGCAGTAAATATTCTTACTAACTTATCCTTGGACAATTGATTATTCTTAGGATAAATTCTTAGACGTGAATGTAGTGAGTTAAAGGGTCTATGTATTTCTGAGGCTCTGGGTGTATATTGCTAATTTGCTTTATAGAAACACTGAACCATTTATCACACTAAACATCATTTTTTAGAATTCCCATTTCCCTATTCCTGTTATTCCACAGAAAGTTATTTATAAAAACAAAAAAAGTCATTCCTAATCTAGTAATGTCAGAAATTATATCTTAATTTAATATTTTTCTTTAATATTGAGAGTAAAAACCTCTTCACATGCTTTTTATTCATTTTTCTTCTTATAATTTCCTGTTCATATACATAACCTTTATTTTGTATTTTAGTCATTTTATTTATTTATTAGTAACACATGGATGTTAATTTTTAACATTAACTTTAATCTGAATGTTAATCTCTAGTCTGATATATATTAATAGATTGTTATCTGATTGTAAATATTTTCTTATTTTCATGTGTCTCTGACCTTTGGTGTCCTTTATCATGGCTTTACAAAAGTTTAAAATTTTTTATGCAGTTAAATTTATTGATCTTTATCTTTATTATTTATGTTTTCCTTATTCCAGAGAAATATAATTGTCTATATTTAATTTTAGTATTTATATAGTTTATTTTTTAACATATAATTCACAAACTAATAATTTATTTTAATATTGAATGTGAGGTTGGACTCTAATTACTGTAAAACAACTCATTATTATATGTGTGTGTATGTAACTCCAATTACAGTATTGTGATAATCTGTTGTTTTATTCAGCTTGGTTTGCCATAATAAAATATATAGATTGGGTAACTTCAACAGCAGAAGTTTAGTTTTTCACTGTTCCAGAGGCTGAAAGTCTGAGATTAGGATGCCATCATGGTTGGTTTCTGGTAAGGGATCTCTTTTTGGGTTTCAGATGGTCACGTTCTTATTGTGTCTTCACATGGCCTTTCCTCAGCATGTATTCTAGTGTCTTCTTTTAAAAGGACACTAGTCTCGTCAAATTAGGACCTCACCCTTATGGCCTCATTTGACTTTATCTTTCGAAGGCCTTTTCTCTTTGGAGAAAGCTACACTGGTGCTAGGACTTCAGT